CAGACAGACAGACAGACAGACAGACAGACAGACAGACAGACAGATAGATTGATAGATAGATGGACAGACAGATAGATACATAGAAAAGATAGAAAGAAAAAAGGATAAAAAAAAGCTAAAGCTACTGTAAAATCTCACAATAATCTTAAAGAAATGAATTTAAAATTATCTGAGAAAAAACTGACGACTAAGTCAGATCACATGAAATAATTCCAGAACAGCTATTGAATAACAAACAACCATGAATAAGGCAAAACCTACTAACAAAATAAGGTATTTTTCAAAATTTAAACACAAAAAACAAACAAAATCCAGACACCTTAGAATTATATTATAAATCCATCTGTTCTCTAGAAAAGTTTATGTTTTGGGATGTGTCTGACCCACAAAATTCATCCACACAAACTCTAACACAAAGTGGGAACAATAAAACATAAAGTTACAGGTTTCGTTCAGCCTAATGACAGTCTGGACATCTGGCCCAAACCGCGCTTGCAAAAAACTGACTTCTGAACCTGGTTTCTAAGGGGAAACTGGTCCCCTTAATGGCTTGCTCCCAAACCCTGTAAACACCTTTGTGTTTGGGAGTGAAAAAATAAGCTGGCCTGAAAATGGGTGAAGATTGAAGAAGCATTGAAGAAGATACAAAAGTAGCAAAAACAGAGTAATCACAGAGTGAACAGTTCATTTCGTCCTTCTGTTCCAATAAACGGTGACATCTACAAATTGGTCAGTCTTTCTTCAGCCTTGATACACAGGCAGTTTACAGTCACAAAGAAAACTCTTACATTTAATGTTTGTTCACATATGTTGCCCTACTTACATGTTTTGATGAGTGCTGAAATTGAATAGACAGATTACAAAAACTAACAAGACTCCTGCTGGACATATAACAAAAGTTTTGATAGCTGCCATTTTTCCTTTTAGCTGCAGCAACAACGATTTAAACATATTTGTTTGAGAAAATACAGCGTTTCACCACAAAAACCCTTGGTAGACTATAATATTTGTTATTATTGAAAAATGGTTTGTTTTCTGTTTTTTGTGCTGCTGGCACACATCGGCACAAACAATATCAGGGAGAAAAACTGAAGGGAACAGGTAAGATGGTGCACAATGTTCTTAGTGTCCAACTAGAGGAGCTATATAATACTACCAAGGCTTTTAATATGACAGAATCTGCTAAGAGTTACTGCAGCTGACTGATTTGTGAAAATGCTTTGCTGCTAAATGTATTACACATTAATAACTACAGTTTTTAGATACACAACATATCTGTTAATCTTTAGGAGAGAGTGTGTAGTGCAATGGCTCATCATTGGTGTTTTGTTATTAGATTTTGTCTTATTTGTGGGTGTTTGTTATTGGAAAGCTGTGGCAGTTTTTATTTTATCTAGTTCATTTCAGTTTAAATCAGTTTTTATTTTAGATCTCTGTCAGATTTGTCTTTAGGTTTCTTTTTTATCTTTGTTCAGTTAAAGGAATAGTACACCCAAAACATGATTAGCCTTCATTTTCT